AAAAAGCACAAACTTGCTTCCTAGACATTGAGTACTTATCTGTACCATATGTCCCCACCTCAGTAAGTCCTCCCTCACCTCCCATTGTGAAGAGGAATTAAATGACTGCCCCTCCTTATATCACTATCCCTATTCATCCCAATCTTCCAACAAAGATGTTTTGGTTCTTGGGAGCTTTATCAGTAGAGCTAAAGAAGGTTTAAAAGATAGCCAGGTCTGCAAAATTATGAGGTAAGAAGTCAGAATAATGGTTCCTTTTGGAAGAGGCAGTGACTGGAAGGGAGCATAAGGGGTCTTTGGGGGACTAGTAATGTTTCATTTCCTTTTTTTCAAACAGGGTCTTGCTATGTTGCTCAAGCTATTCTCAAACTCCTGAGCTCAAGCAATCTTCCCACCTGAGCCTCCTAAAGTGTTGGAATTATAGACATGAGCCACCACAGCTGGCTGAAATTATACCTTTGATGCATCCTAGAATTCTTATCAGTCAAATGCTGTGATTGACACATACAATCCTCCCTTTCCTCCACCCCACCTTTCATATTAGTAAAAGGTCCCAAAAAGGTGCCAGGTTAGGAGGGAGGTAGGGTAGAAAATACGTAAATGAGAGAATACAATAAAATTCACTTTACAAATGAAAATACTTTATATGGCAGGTTCTTATAAAAGCTGGGCAGATTCCCAAGAAAACTTGGTGTATTGGACAGTCTCATATTTGTTGCTGAACGCTTGCCTCAACCCTGGCTCTCCTGTCACTAAAACTTGGCAGTCTGGAGTTTATTCCCTACATCTGCAGAACACCAGTCTTCCTCAGAGAGAGGAAACATAGCCTTGTCTCTTCCCAATAGGAAGAATATGTGAATTAGGTAGCATGAATTAAAATGTTTTGGAAAAAAAGTACAAAGCGCTGTATAAATGCTGTAACCACAATTTTGGTAGAAACTGCCTATGATCTCCCATCCTCAAAAATCAAAATTTTTTGGATGTTTCTCCAAAACACATATGTACACATGGGTTCATATCATACTCCTGACACCAAAAAAGGTATAAAAAACACTGATAAATAAACATTATATACTTTGATATATAAGCTATTTTTCTCAATAAAAGAATAAGGCATGGAGAAAGCTGAAAATGGACTTTACCCTGAACTGTGTTTTTTACCTCTAGAGCTAAGTTTTCTTGAGCAGCCGAGGAGTAAAAATATTCATGGTCTGGAGTTAAAAATTCATCTGTTATGTCCTCAGAAGACTGTGGTGAACAAGTTGATTGCGTGGACTCATTCTATTAATAATATAGGAAATCACTTTTAAGTTATCGTTCACTGTGACCAAATCTTTTTATAGTTGGATGCAGCGTTAACAAAAAGGTTATCTAAAATTACCCAGCAGTAACCACAATTTTAGTAGAAACTGCATATGATCTCCCATCCTCAAAAATCAAAAATTTTTCATTAGTCAGTGTGACACTCTGAGCTGAATCTCCCTACCTCTTTGTGCGTGTGCCTCTGCCTTCCCTTCCTGGTGGGGAAAAGCAGCTGTGATCTCCCTGGAGTAAGCATGGAGAAATGCTAATCCTGAGCCTCAGCAGCATCATCTGCTGAATGGGTGAAGATGAGGTGACTGTCCTATTCTAACATTCTAAATAAGGAGAAAGGCCCTAGTCAACTCAAGCTGACTGAATTTAAACACCTTGATCCCTCATAGGTACAGACATAGCCCATGTGTTGGCATCATCTTACAGATGAGGAGGCTCCAGCTACTCATAACCTGTGAGTCCCTCAAGTATTACAGGTTAAAGGCAAGTGAAGAAGCATATTTTAAAAACAGCAATGTAATCTCAATAATAAAAATAAAATAGTTAAAAAGTAGCAAATTTATTTATTTTTTTTCTCAAGACAGACTCTTGCTCTGTTGCCCAGCCTGGAGTGCAGTAGCATGATCTTGGCTCAATGCAACCTCTACCTCCTAGGTTCAAACAATTATCCTGCCTCAGCCTCCCAAGTAGCTGGGATTATGGGCATGTGCCACCATGCTCAGCTACTTTTAATATTTTTAGTAGAGATGGGGGTTTCACTATGTTGGCCGGGCTGGTCTTGAACACCTGATCTCGTGAGCTGCCTGCCTCGGCCTCCCAAAGTGCTGGACTTACAGGCGTGAGCTACCATGCCTGGCCTGCAAATTTATTTCTTAAGCATCTCTGCTCCATCCCTTTTTTCCTGCTTATTTTGCTATATTCAGTCTTTGATTACCACATGGCCAAACAAATGGCTCTTCTCATTTCAGTCTTTTTTTTTTTTTTTGAGACAGGGTCTCACTCTACCACCCAGGATAGAGTACAGTGGGCCAATCACAGCTCAGTGCAGCCTTGAACTCCTGGGCTCAAGCGATCCTCCTGCCTCAGCCTCCCAAGTAGCTGAGACTACAGGTGCAGACCACCAAGCCTGGCTAGTTTTTACTTTTTTTTTAATACAGGGTTTCACTCTGCCCCCGAGGCTGGAGTGTAGGGATGTGATCATGGCTTACTGCAGCCTCAGCCTCCCCAGGCTCAGGTGATCCTCCCACTTCAGCCTTTCAAGTAGCTGGGAATACAGGCATGCACCATGTCTAGCTAACTTTTGTATCTGTTGTAGAGATGGGGTCTTGCCAAGTTGCCCAGCCTGGTCTCGAACTCCTGGGCTCAAGCAATCTGCCCACCTTGGCCTACCAAAGTGCTGGGATTACAGGAGTAAGCCACTGCGCTAAGCTGATTTTTACATTTTTTGTAGGCAGGGTCATACCAGGCCCAGCCTGGTCTTGAACTCCTGGCTTTAAGCGATCCTCCCACTTCAGCCTCCCAATGTGCTGGAATACCAGGTGTGTGCCACTATAGCCAACTTTCAGTTATCTCTTGGCAGAGATTTTGTGACTAATTTCGTTGGACACTGCTTTTGCCACACACTTCCCTTCCTGTGCACTTAATGGCTGCTCCCCTTTACCTCTCATCAAACTTAATCTGAGTCCTGACCTCCTGCAGACATTCCCTACTTTTCTGCCTAGGCCTGCTTTTCCAGCTCAGCCAGTATGCTTAATATGACTGTTCTTCCAGCCCTCATGTGAGAGAAAGGATAAGTTGATCTTATGAATGGTTTGTATGCTATGATTAAATACAATAGGTCAAAAGACCTTACACTTTATCACTACTGTATTCATATATCATTCTCAATTGCTGTCTATATTCTTTAGATGATTGCAGCCCCATGTCAATGACAATAAAAATAAATGTTGGTTTCTTAGTCTGGTTGGGCTATGGCCTAAAGTGGGTTAAAGCCCTGAAGCAAGGCTGTCACTGCAGTGCAAATGCAAATGGATCCTGCTGAGGCGCAGTTTTCAGACACAAACACATGGCTTCCACTGAGTTGGAAGCTGAGTTTGGCCCTTAGAGGATATTCCAGGTGAAGGCACGCCATAGCAACCCTGCCCTTGGTTTTTCCTACTCCTAACAGACCTCAGTCACCTGCTGGGGCAGGAGCTTTGTCCCAGTTTTGTTTACCCAACTATACCAGAAACTCAAGTGCCAAAGCTGAATCTGACACTTTTCTGTGCTCTCCCCAGTCTCCAGGATACAAAACTCATTGAGATGAACTGACTTAAAAAGTATCAGACAGAAGGAAAGATTATTTTATTCATGTCAGTGACATGAAGACACATGCTCCAGCCAAAAAGAACCACTATAGATATTATTTTGATGTCATAACATAATAACAGCTCAGTTCTACCTTATCAGATCCTTGGGTTCAGCTTGGCTCTCCAGGCAATATTACTTACGCTGTAAGATTTCTCAATGGCCACCAATGCATCAGAACTTGCTTGAACAGCTTCACTATGCTCTGGTTGTTCATTTTGTCCAGGAGATGGGTGACTGATACCTAATGATTATAACACAATCAGGGCCAAAGTCATTCAGTGATATTCAGACAGCATGGAAGAGGATAAAGGTGGCATGAGAGAAGAGATGTATACATATTCTGCCAAGAGTGGCCATGTCCCACATATTAGGTTCAGTCCAGAGAGTAGAGACTGTTAGTTTAGCCTGACTCCAAAATGCAGCCCTGGATCCATCCTTTTGCCCACCCATTCAAGAGTGATGTTTGACAAGAAACAGATTCTAAATACAAATACTACCTAAGCCAATAGATTTTCTACCTAAGACAAATGACAATTTTAGATGTACCTTTCTTTGACTTACAAACTATGAAACAATATTCCATGCTCTGATTGTAAGCAAATTACCAAGTGAAAATATATGGCCTTCATTTTTTTAACCTGTAAATCTATAAACTGATGACAATAAATGTTATGTGTCTCTAGGTTCCTCCAGCATAGACTCTCTGGAAAAATTTAATGCCAGCTTAGAATACATTCTAAATAAATTCTGGGAGAATTTATTTACAGCTTAGAGTACAATGCAGAGACATGGGCAGTAGGCAGTGGTGGCCCACCTCTATCCCCAGGTAAAGAAGTCTGATTCCTCACCAGGATCAGAGTTGGTATGTGATTATTTTACTTCCTTTGGACAAAGGGGCCTGTTTCAGTAATATAAAAACTGATCAATGTCTGGATCTATCTGCCTGTGGGAAATGCAATGACATGTAGAGTATGCTGCTTTCCCCTGGAATTCAAGGTTCCCAGAAAAGTAGGAAAGGAGAGAGGACTAAGCCGAAAAACATATGCTGGAAGGTTTACCTTTTTGAGAGCTGATAACTTTTTTCTTTTTTTGAGATAGGGTCTCACTATCACCCAAGCTGTAGTGCAGTAGTAATCACAGCTCACTGCAACCTCCGCCTCTCAGGTTCAAGTGATCCTCCCACCTCAGCCGCCTGGATAGCTGGAACTACAGGCATGTGCCACCATGCCCAGCTAATTGTGTGTGTGTGTGTGTGTGTGTGTGTGTGTGTGTATGTGTGTGTGTTTGTAGAGATCAGGTTTCATCATGCTGACCAGCCTGGTCCCCAATTCCTGGGCTCAGGCAATCTGCTCAACCTCAGCCTCCCAAAGTGCTGGAATTACAGGCTGAGCCACCTTGCCCAACCAATCACTTGATCGAGTTCGCCTATCCTGATTCCCGCAAGTAAACTTACTGGTGAAGCTTTGAGGCCCAGGCTGTCTGCCATGCTGGTCACTGTTGTCCATCTTGTCAAACCTGCCATTTCCTCTGGGCTCATCATTTTCCCTATGATATTCAATAACTCGCTGCCAATCCATATTTTCAGGGCTCCTAATGGGGGGCTGCAGCAGGGCATCGGGCTCATTTTCAGCCTTGCTCTCTAAAGTCAAACTACTCTGAGGATGCCAAGGAGATACTGTAAGCTGCCCGGTAGCTGCTTTCTCTGCCATTTCTTTCACCTCCACTGGGCACAAGAGAAAGCAGTATTTAAAACATCATTGTAAACATTGGAAACACAGGCTTTCATTTAAAAGAAATACATAATACTATTATACTTCATACTGCAGCAATAACTGCCTTTTTATAGTTGCATCATCCTTAGTTTGCTCTGTTTGGCTTGAATGGGAGGTTAGGGGAGAATAGATGACAGAGAGAGAGAAGGGAATTTCAGTTAGTTATCCCAAACAACAGCCCTTGTTGCTGACTTCCAGGGTGAGAGGCAGCAAAAAGCTTACAGATAGACCCTCTTCCTGAGAAGTTTTAACAAGAAAAATGACATCTAAAGTTCATTATGTAATAACAGAAAGGATTCTATTTGAGTTTTCCTAGTCTTTCCAAACTATCCTGAGCTCATATTTTTGAAGTCCATATATATATATGCATGTTTTCATTTCAAAATTTCTACACTTCTGCTAATGTCACTTATGACTAGTATTAAAAATAGACATTATATCCTTTAAGCCTACAAGAGAAAACTGATACAAAGGGTTCTCTCCAGGTAGTCCGCTTTCTTCCCACATCCCAAAGATGTGCCCGTTAGGTGAACTAGTGTGTCAAAATGGCCCCAGTCTGTGTGAGTGAGAGTGTGTGAGTACGCTCCACAATGGCATGGTGTCTGTCTAGGGCTGGTTTCCTCCTTGCACCCTGAGTTGCCAGGATAGGCTCCAGCCACCTGTGACCCTGAACTAGAATAAATGGGTAATTACTTATCTTACTTGTTTTCATTAATCTTTTTTTTTTTTTGAGACAGAGTTTCGCTCTTGTTACCCAGGCTGGAGTGCAATGGCACGATCTCGGCTCACCGCAACCTCCGCCTCCTGGGTTCGGGCAATTCTCCTGCCTCAGCCTCCTGAGTAGCTGGGACTACAGACACTCGCCACCATGCCCAGCTAATTTTTTGTAGTTTTAGTAGAGATGGGGTTTCACTATGTTGACCAGGATGGTCTCGATCTCTTGACCTTGTGATCCACCCGCCTCGGCCTCCCAAAGTGCTGGGATTACAGGCTTGAGCCACCGGGCCCGGTCCATCTTTCTTAAATGTATATATAGCTCACATTTACTTCAATGTTTAATATTAGAAGTGATTTGGTTTTTATTTAGAAGTCGGTGATGTATTTGTGACCAGAAATATGCTGTAGGAACTTAACTCTTGTTCACATCAATTAGCCTATGGTAAAATTGGTTTTGTTATACATCATTTTGCTTAAAGTCATTGTCGTTTCCTATTAACATATTAAATAAGGACTTACGGTATTGTGTACTGTTTTATTACATTTCTTATACAATATACATTTATATAATAGAAATATTTCCTATGAAGTCTAGAAATTTTTAAAAAAGCATTTCCCTTCTGAAGGCTGTAATCAAAAGGGCCCTGCTTTTAAATGAAATTATATAACAAAAGAAAAAACTTCTGAAGGACATTGCTATGGTTCTAAATATGCATCACAGGTTGTGTACTTAGAAATATCAACCACATTAGAAATATACTTTAAATTTCATTTTGACTAACAAAACCCATGACTTTATACTCACTTTTCCATTTTAAGTGTACCTCTCCATCATCTTTATTTCTGGATTCTGCATTATAGATTTCAGAAGAAACAGGTTCCATACTCATCCTGAATTGCATGGGTTTTTTGGAGGTGAGGCGAGCAGAGTGAACACAAACACATCAGTTCGCCCAAGGTCCTGACAGAACCCAAAGCCCACCAGCCCATCCAGAGGACCTGTTCCCTATACCATGAACCATTCCTAGAGTTGCACTGACCCCATTGCACCAGCAGAGGGCACAAGACTCCATTCCCATCCCACAACCCCACGGCCAGTTTCCAGCCAGCAAGGATCCCTACCTGGTAGAATCCCGGTGAGAGCTGGGTGACACAGAAGGTCCCTGCTGGTGGCCTGACAGAGTGAAGAGTGCACTATTAAGTCGTGTGGCTTTGGCTTGGGCAGTGGACTCTCTAGGTCTTCCTTGGCTAAGAAATGAAAGGACTGAATTATAAGATCTCTAAGGGTAGTTTTAGTTTCTAAATTTAGATTCCATGATCATAAAAGTGCTCTTGGGAGATTTTCAGAGGTAGAAGAAACCCACAGTTGAAGCATATTTTTACAAGACACACTCCCTGGGCTGTTGCAGGGAGTGCAAATTTGTGGCATTTGTCCCCTGCAAATGCCACAAATGACAGGTGATGGTTCAGGTGAGGGATCTGCTCTTGCCAGTCCATCAGAATTCTCTGGTAACAGGCCCATCTTCATATCAGTGACAGCACAATAACATCTGTAGTTGTTGAGACAGAGTCTCAGCCTGTCACCCAGTGTAGTGGTGTGATCTCTGTTCACTGCAACATCCACCTCCCAGGTTCAAGCAATTCTCGTGCCTCAGTCTCCCGAGTAGCTGGTATTACAGGTGCACACCGCCATGCCCAGCTAATTTTTGTATTTCTAGTAAAGACGGGGTTTTGCCATGTTACCCAGGCTGGTCTCAAACTGCTGATCTCAAGTGATCCACTCACCCTAGCCTCCCAAAGTGCTAGGATTACAGGTGTGAGCCACCATGCCTGGCCTAACATTTGTAAAAACAGTCTTATGGCATGGGGGATCCTGAAGAACATTCAGAGACCTTCAGTCTAGTCCCACTGAATTCTAGACCCTGACCTACCATTAGGTTACTATCTGACTTTGGCAAGCATCAATCTCTCTAGGCCAAGACTTCCTCATTTGCAACACAAGGGAGTATTTTTTTCCTTTAAATATCCCATAACTAGCCAGGCATAGTGGCTCAGGTCTGTAGCCTCAGCTATTTTGGAGGCTAAGGCAGAAGGATTACTTGAGCCCAGGAAGTCAAGAACAGCTTGGGCAACATAGTGAAACCCTGTCTCCAGAAAAAAAATAAATAAAGTTTATAAATATCTCATGAACATATACATTTTATTATCTATTCAATTAACTTTTCAAAAATGTATGATATGACTGGGCACGGTGGCTAACGCCTGTAATGCTAGCACTTTGGGAGGCTGGCGCAGGCGGAGGCCAGGAGTTGAGGCCACCTGGCCAACATGGTGAAACCTCTCTACTTAAAAAAAAACAAAAATTAGCTGGGCATGGTGGTGCATGCCTGTAATACCAGCTACTCAGGTGGCTCAGGCATGAGAATTGCTTCAACCCGGGAGGCAGAGGTTACAGTGAGCCAAGATCACACCACTGCACTCCAGCCAGGGTGATAGAGCAAGACTCTTATCTCCAAAGAAAAAAAAAGTATGTGCTCTGTGGCACAGATATGAATTCCCTATTATCTAGAATACCCTATTCACCAGGGGACCAGAAAGCAGAGAGATTGCTGAAATCAGAGAGGGCAGATCTGATCAGCTTCCTTTTTAAAAAATAAATATTTTTGGTGACAGAGTCTCACTCTGTCACCCAGGCTGGAGTACAGTGGCTCAATCACAGATCACTGCAGGCTCAACTTTCCAGGCTCCAGCGATCCCCCCACCTCAGCCTCCCAAGTAGCTGAGACCACAGGCACCTGCCACCACAGCCAGCTAATTTTTGTATTTTTGGTAGAAATGAAGTCACACCATGTTTGCTGCCCAGGGTGGTCTCAAACTCTCAGACTTCAAGCAGCCCTGCCACCTTGGCCCCATAAAGTGAACTGAAATTAGTCAGGTGCAGTGGCTCATACCTGTAATCCCAGCTCTTTGGGAGGCTGAGGTGGGCAAATCATGAAGTCAAGTGATCGAGACCATCCTGGCCAACATGGTGAAACTGTGTCTCTACTAAAAATACAAAAATTAGCCAGGTGTGGTGGTGTGCACCTGTAGTCCTAGCTACTTGGGATGCTGAGGCAGGAGAATCGCTTAAACCCAGGAAGCAGAGGTTGCAGTGAGCTAAGATCGCACCACTGTGCTCCAGCCTAGAGACAGCGAGACTCCATGTCAAATTAAAAAAAAAAAAAAAAGGTGAACGGAAATTGTGCCACTGCAAGGAAGTCTGAGCATCAGAGTGAGACCCTGTCTTAAAATGGAAAAAAAAAAATCATTGAAATGTTCAAACCCTTTGACCAAGTAATTCCGCTTCTGAGAATCTATCCTGAGAAAATAATCCAAAATGCAAAAAAAGCATTATTTACAAGTAACTATGTCCCAATTCAAAATAGAATAAAAATGAAACAACCTTAAATTCAACAATAAGTAAAATCCAACAATTTTTGTTGTTGTTTGAGACAGTCTCATTCTGTCTCCCAAGCTGGAATGCAGCGGCATAATCATGACACTGCAGCCTTGACCTTCCCAGGCTCAGGTGATCCTCCCACCTCAGTCTCCCAAGTAGCTGAGTCTATAGGCGCACACCACCATGCCTAGCTAATGTTTTGTACAGACAGGGTTTTTGCCATGTTGCCCAGGGTGGTCTCCAATTCCTGGGCTCAAGTGATCTGCCTGTCTTGGCCTCCCAAAGTGCTGGGGTTACAGGTGGGAGCCACCTCATCCAGCCCAACAATTTCAAAGTAAGTTTACAAGGTGGTTTTTTTTTTTTTTTTTTTTTTTTTTTTAGTAACATAGAGTAATGCTCATGTTCTGATCTAAAGTGGAAAAGCAGGATATAAAATTGCTTACACATATCGTAATTGTCACTTTATTTTTTTTTAAGCATGCAAAAAGACTAGAGAAATAGGTAGAAAAATGTTAAACTTTCTTTGGTCTGTTTTTTATACTTTTGAGGAAAGAGGGTGCCGAGCAGGGGAGGCCACAACTATGGGTCGTCTTTGTCGTCTAATGGCTATGTTATCCCATCTGCTTCTGTCAGTGGTGTGAGTGCCAAATGCTCTGACGCCAGCTAGGTAGTTCTTCATTATTCCTTTCATAGGAATAACATATACTAATCTGAAATGTCTGGCCAGGCCCAGTGGCTCAAGCTTGTAATCCCAGGACTTTGGTAGGCCAAGGTTGGCGGATCACCTGAGGTCGGGAGTTTGAGACCAGCCTGACCAACATGGAGAAATCCCCTCTCTACTAAAAAATACAAAATTAGTCAGGTGTGGTGGCACATGCCTGTAATCCCAGCTACTCGGAAGGCTGAGGCAGGAGAATCACTTGTACTTGGGAGGTGGAGGTTTCGGTGAGCTGAGATCTCACCACTGCACTCCAGCATGGGGAACAAGAATAAAACTCAGTATCAAAAAAATGTAATTAATTAATATAATTAAATGTCTAGACAGTTTCCTTCATTCTCCCTTATGCACATATTTACCAACATGAAACAGCAAACTTGTCATTAGTCTCAGTCACCACTAGGGGGAGTAATAAAAAGTTCTTTTTTTTCCAGGAGAACTGACTTTAAAGTTGTGGATTGGTGCTACCATTTATCCATACAAAAGAAAAACTAAAACTGATATACTAGTCTACCTTGAAAAACATTTATTGCTCCTTTAGTAAGTCCCTTACTTATAATACCTAATTAAATTTAAACCAAAAATTTTAAATAAATTTTTTAAAATTAAAAAATATTACCACACACCGAATACGTTTGTTTTACTTAAGTTCTTTATTTATGTATTATTATTTTTGAGTCAGAGTCTCGCTTGTTGCCAAGGCTGGAGTGCAGTGGCACCATCTTGGCTCACTGCAACCTCCGCCTCCTGAGTTCAAGGGATTCTCAAGCCTCCACCTCCCAAGTAGCTGGGATTACAGGTGCCCGCCACCACGTCGGCTGATTTTTGTATTTTTTTTTTCACACAGAAAATAATTTGGTTCCAACGCAATTTTTGTATTTTTAGTAGAGACAGTTTCACCATGTTGGCCAGGCTGTTCTCGAACTCCTGACCTCAAGTGATCCACCCACCCCGGCCTCCCAAAGTGCTAGGATTACAGGCATGAGCTACCATGCTCAGCCTGTTTTACTTATTTAAAACTCGGCGTGTGTGTATGTGTGAATATATGTGTGTGTGTGTATATATATATGCATCCATAAAGATGTATATATACATATATATACCTGAATACGTATATATACATCTATGCATGAATAGATGTATATATGCATATATGTGTGGATCAATATATGCATGTATGTATGAATATATTATATATACAATATGTGTATGAATATATATTTACAAACATACACACACTCTTCTTCCAGTGATCTGTGCTAAAGACAATTCGTTTCATTCATCTGGCTGGAAATCACACACCCCAGAGTAATAGTGATGCTGTTCAACTCGCCCTCTGGAGCCAGTGACACTTTAAACAACCTTGGTTTCCAATTAGTTTGGTTTGTGGAGCACTGGTAAATGGAGTACCCGGTGTTTGTTTTTGTAAGAAAAACTATCTGTGCAGTTGTGGACAGGCAAGATGCTTTGCTTCTGACAACTGATGAGTTCTGTCTGATTCACCTGCCAGCCATTTGGCTTTGATGCTTCCTCATGTTCCCATTACACTGCTCTTCCCACTCACTCAGTGGAAGAACCTGCCAATCTGCATTGCTCTACCTCATCACTCACAGTCGTTTTGTCACTAGACATATGAAGATCACCGAGTGGCCTCAGAGACACAGAGAAGTCTAAAGGCATGGTGACACTAAGAACAACAAAATGTTGACGCACCTACTGGTATTTTGGATGCTGCTTCTTTCCAAACTGTCCTTAGCTCCTTGAGTGGGCTGAAATTGTTGATCTGTGTTCTGTTTTCCAGGGTTGCAAAGAGTCGGCAGCTTAAAAAGCAATAAACATGTTTCAGTACTTTGATGAGAGAATTCCCATTCTCTTCACTCTCACACTATTTTCAAAGCCATTCTTGCTAAATGTATAGAAATAACAGACCTACCAGGATTTCCTTTTGCATGTTTCCTATCTACTAACCCATCTCTTATCTGGAGGTGTTTACTCAGAAATGTTGGTCTCCAGGAACCTAGCCCAGACAGGGCACAAGTGGAGAATAAGCAGACAATGTAGAAATTTAAAAAGCCAAATATTGTCCTGAGCATTTTCCCCCTCCTATATTAATATGAAGCAAGCAGATCTTTGTAGCAGGAGTCATGGGCCTTGGGGTCTGGTCTAAGTGTTATTCAGACTAACCTAAGAGAATCTTTTTCTTTTTTTCTTTTTTTTTGAGACAGGGCCTCACTCTGTTGCCCAGACTGGAGTGCAGTGGTGTAATCTCAGCTCACTGCAACCTCCGCCTCCCAGGCTAAAGAGATTCTCATGCCTCAGCCTCCTGAGTAGCTGGGATTACAGGCGAGAGCCACTATCTCTCGGCTAATTTTGTATTTCTAGTAGAGATGGGTTTTCACCATGTTGGTCAGGCCAGTCACGAACTCCTGGCTTCAAATGATCCACCCACCAGGGCCTCTCAAAGTGCTGGGGTTACAGGTTGTGAGTCACTGCACCCTGCCATTAAGACAATCTTGTACTTCAGTTTCCTCGTCCATAAAATAAGAACAATAATACCTACCAGTGGGGATGCTATGAAAATAAAATATAATACAATAAAGGTTATAATACTTAGGAAATAGCAGAAGTAAAACAAATGAAAGTCTATGCTCTTTATTCAAGAGTCTTTTGGCTCTGCTTATCCCAATTTTAACATAATTTTAAGAAACTTAGTTAACTATATTTCCTTGCCTATAGCAAATTAAAGCAACAAATGTGGAGTTTGGAGATGGCAGCAAGATATGTAAAAGTGAGAGGAGGCACAAAAAATTTCTACATGCTCCCTTAAGCTCCAGAGGCCTTTGTATGGGCAAACATATTCCTTAGTGGAAGCTTAAGATAGCATTGTATCACGATGCTTCACCATAACAGATGTTCAGAAAAATACCACTGTCACCAAGGAAAGGTTAGAATATGTTTAGAATATAATCAAAACAGACATTTAGAATATAATGAAGTTTGTAATGTTTTCATTAGTATAATTAAAATTTTAAGAACTAAGAAATTAAAGAAATAAACTTCAACTGTCTGAAGCATTTATTTAGATGGAGATGGCTTTTTCCCTGATGCTAGAAAAAGAGGGTGACATTTTTAAAGAAAAAATAAACATGGTAGCAATTTTTTTTAAGATGGAGTCTTGCTCCATCGCCAGGCTGGAGTGCAGTGGTGTGACCTCAGCTCACTGCAACCTCTGCCTCCCGGGTTCAAGCAATTCTCCTGCCTCAGCCTCCCAAGTAGCTGGGATTACAGGTACCCATACCACACCCGGCTAATTTTTGTATTTTTTTAGTAGAGATGGGGTTTCACCATGTTGGCCAGGATGTTCTCACTCTCGTGACCTTGTGATCTGCCCACCTCAGCCTCCCAAAGTGCTGGGATTACAGGCGTGTGCCACTGTGCCCGCCTGGTATCATTTTATGTCCTATGTACCAGTAGACGGTTTCCAGCAGTGGCCACCATCAATTCCCTCCCTCCTGTCCATCCTGCCACGCCTCCCATAATGAGCTAGAGTCTATTTCCCCACCCATTGAATCTGGGCTGGCCTCGCGACTTTCTCTGACCAACAGAAAGCAGAGAAAGTGACACAGTCCTAGGGTCAGAACTAACTTTTAAGAGGCCTGGTAATTTTAGCTTTCACTTGCAAAGTCAGCTGCTATGCTGTAGAGAAGCTTGGGTAAGACTATTTATTGAATGATGACAAGTCAAGTGCTAAGAGAGGCCACCTGGAGGAGCTCAAGGTACCAGACACTTAAGTAGAACCTCCAGCTGACTGCAATCAAGTGAATGATGCCAGCCAATGGCCATGTGGAACAGAAGAACCACTCAGGTGAACCCTGTCAAATTCCTGACCCACAGAATTCTGAGAAATAATAAACTATTGTTATTTTAAGCTACTAGATTTTGGGATTTGTTGTTGTTATTACACATCAATAGATAATGAAAACATAACAGATTAAAGTTATTTCAGGCTTGGCGCAATGGCTCACGCCTGTAATCTCAACACTTTGGGAGGCCGAGGAGGGTGGATCACCAGGTCAGGAGTTTGAGACCAGCCTAGCCAATATGATGAAACCGCACCTCTACTAAAAATACAAAAATTAGCCAGGCATGGTGATGCGTGCCTGTAGTCCCAGCTACTTGGTAGGCTGTGGCAGAAGAATTGCTTGAACCTGGGAGGCAGAGGCTGCAGTGAGCCGAGATTGCGCCACCGCACTCCAGCCTCTTTGACAGAATGAGATTCTGTCTCAAAAAAAAAAGTTATTTCTAATAGTTTCTAGCAAACTCTAATTTTCTAAGGAAACAGAAATATTAGGATATAAGTAAATTATTTGTGCCTTTTTTTTTTTAGATAGGGTCTCACTTTGTTGCCTGTGCTAGAGTGTAGTGACATGATTTCGGCTCACTGCAATCTCGACTTCCCAAGCTCAGGTGATCCTCCCACCTCAGCCTCCCGAGTAGCTGCGACTACAGGCATGTGCCACATGCCCAGATAATTTTGATATCTTTTGTAGAAACAGGGTTTCGCTATGTTGTCCAGGCTGGTCTCGAACTCCTGGGCTCAAGCAATTCACCTGTCTTGGCCTCCCAAAGTGCTGGGATTATAGGCATGAGCCACTCCACCTGACTGTGTCTTCTCTTTATATAAAAACAAATGACAGCTGGGCGTGGTGGCTCTTGCCTGTAATCTAAGCACTTTGGGAGGCCAAGGCAGATGGACTGCTTGAGCTCAAGAGTTTGAGGCCAGCCTGGACAGAAGAGTGAAACCCCATCTCTATTCAAAAAAAAAAAAAAAAAAGATAAATAAATACCGGCTGGGCATGTTGAGACCCCATCTCTACAACTCACAAAATTAGTCGGGTGTGCTGGTACAGCCTGTAGTCCCAGCTACTCAGGGGTCTGTCGTGGGAGGATTGCTTGAGTCCAGAAGATTGAGGCTGCAGTGAGCCATGATCGTGCCACTTCACTCAGCAAAAATAAATGCCAATGCTTTTCCAAATGTTCTGAGTGAGGACTGAAGCCTCACTAAGATTCAGCATTGTACAATGAAAGAACAACAGACCAGGAGTCAGGAGACCTGCTCCTAACCAACCTGGCCCTTGGTAGTAGCACGGCAAGTTGAGGACGGCAGGGAGAGCTATCTGCCCTGTATAGGCAATAAAAGGGTGCATTTGGCCAGGCACAGTGGCTCACAACTGTAATCCTAGCACTTTGGGAGGCTGAGGCAAGTGGATCATCTATGGTCAGGAATTCAAGACCAGCTGGGCCAACATGGTGAAACCCTGTCTCTACGAAAAATACAAAAAATTAACCGGGCATGGTGGCACATGCCTGTAGTCCCAGCTACTCAGGAGGCTGAAGCAGGAGAATCGTTTGAACCTGGGAGGCAGAGGCTGTAGTGAGCCGAGATTGTGCCACTGTACTCCAGCCTGGGCGACAGAGCAAGACTCTGTCTCAAAATAAATAAATTAAATTAATTAAACTAAAAATTTAAAAGAGGGTACCTGTTAAGCAGAGAATTTTAAAACAGTAACAAAACCCAGTAAAAGTTGGCCTGCTTTTTATCGCCATGGGCTTGCAGTTCTAAGTATCAGTAATTACAACTTTCTTCCAATGGGGCAGACCTCTCCTACCACATCTGCATCTTGACATCACTGGGCTTGAGCTTCACACTCTGTAAAATGACAAAGCTAATCCATGTCTAAGAGATCTTCCGACTCTAATATTCTATAATTCAAGAGACAGCCAGCTTTATGAGTGTGAACTTGTTCAAATTCATTCATTCATTCATTCATTCATTCCCTCATTCCTTCACTGGCCATTTATCAAGTTCCTTCTATGTACTGGGCACCATGCTAGGTGCTGGGACACAGGAGTCAGAGGTCAACCCTGTCCTAAGGAAGCTCACAGAGGAATCGCTCTGCAAGCTACACTTCCCAGCCAGCTCCCATGGTGTCTGCTCACCTCCTCGGAGGTGTTTTCTTTGATCCACCAGGTCCCCCAGACCCTAGTTGATATTTGAGCTACTTATGGGCAGAGTTTGTGGCTTACTCCTCTTCAGAACCCAGAGTCTAGATAGCCTCTGGCTCTCCAGATTTTGCTGAATGAGTGAGTGAATAAATGAATGAATGAATATGCAACTTAGAATGGAGATTAATACCTGTCCAAGATACTTTATTCAGTAAGTTGAGCCATGCAAAATTGCCAATACTTGATCATTTTGATTAATAAAACAGCAATTGCATATGTTTCAATTTGATACATATAAATTTACAGAGGACATGGGCTGTGTGTTGGGCCTGGACTGGGAGGCAGAGTATCTACCTTGATCCTGGAGGACTGATTTCCCAAAGCCAAGAGTACCTTGCTATGAGCCACTTGCATATATATGTCAGTCCCTGCACATAGGTTAGGGGCAAAGTCGAACCCAGCTCTGGGGTCCTGCTTAGGTTGCCCCTTCCTCCCCCTTAGGTTACCTGATGGCTCATCTCTGACTGATCTCCAGTGCTTACTTCAGAGACTTGGGTGAAAGGTTTCCAGCCACAACCACTTCTTTTCCTGGATCTTTTGCCAAGATGTCCCCCTTGAAAGTCTCTCACTGTTCTTGGAAACCTTGCTAGAGTTGGGCAGTTGCCACTAGCATCCAGCTGCTGACCCCCTAAAGGCTGCAGCACAGGGGGAATATAGCTTAAAGATGGAGGGCCCACAGCCGGAGGTAAGTTGTAGACATTTGCAAATTTTCTTGAAGCAGTCCACAAAGACATTTGCTCTTCCTGCTCCTTCTGTTTCATCTCAACTTCATCCAATATCTGCTCGATATTCCTCAGCCTATCAACATTCTCTTGCATTATTTTCTGCATAATCGTTAGATCCAGCACACACTTACTGAGGTAATACTCCTCAGTCTTGGACCTCTCGTTCAAATTGCTCATGGCTTCTCTGACTGGCTCAGGAAGGCTGAGTGAACTGAGTGAACCATTTTGCCAGTCCCAGTCCTCAAAAGAGTGTTCTGTGCCAGCTTCTGAAGAGCTCTTATCCTCACTCCAAAAACAACATGCCTCTCTCTCCATCTTATCCATTAATTCTTCCATGGATTTTAGTTCATCTACCTGGTTAGATCTGTCTGCCTCAAAAGATGAAGCAGCTCCTGGAGGCTCTTCTATATCATCTTCCAAAGTCAAGCAGCCTGAGATCTCGTTGATTTCGAAACTGCAGAGGCTTGCCTGATCCGTGCTGGGGCTGCTGGCTTCTCCTGCCATAAATGGAGCAGGGCAAGGAGCATCTTGATTCTGAGTCTCCCTAGCCCTCAGACATGCATCTGGGGCCTGAGGATCTAGTGCCCCCTCAGTGAATAAAGAGTGAACTCTTGGTGAATGAGGTTGACTGCCTACTGAAAAGAGCAGCAAAATGCAACTGATTAAAATGAACATATTTAGCAGCTAAGCAGCCTTGGCCTGTTCAAGAGGCAAAGACTGTAAAAAAATTTTTTAAAAAAGCTTTGTATTGGGCCGGGCACGGTGGCTCACGCCTGTAATCCCAGCACTTTGGGAGGCCGAAGCAGGTGGATCACGAGGTCAAGAGATCAAGACCATCCCGGTCAACATGGTGAAACCCCGTCTCTACTAAAAATACAAAAAATTAGCTGGGCATGGTGGCGCATGCCTGTAATCCCAGATACTCAGGAGGCTGAGGCAGGAGAATTGCCTGAACCCAGGAGGCGGAGGTTGCGGTGAGCCGAGATCGCACCATTGCACTCCAGCCTGGGTAACAAGAGCGAAACTCCGACTCAAAAAAAAAAAGCTTTGTATTTTCCCACCCCCTTCCCAGTTGTGGAAGACTACTAGATACACTCACAAAGGGTGAGGGAGTATTTGTCACCTAGATGAAAGCTCCTATTTTGACATGGAATGAGGCAGAAATTGTTGGGGCAGGGGTCTAGCCATGGAGGAAATATGTTAAGCTTAATTTATTGTGTGTCCAAAACACGCATAACTGTCAAGACACGCAAATTACTGGCCCCTGAATCTTGCTTTGTTTTGTAGAGACAGGCCCTTGCTATGTTGCCCAGGTTGCTCTCAAACCCCTGACTTTAAGTGATCCTCCTGTCTCACCCTCCCAAAGTGCTAGGATTATAGGCATGAGCCACTATGCCTGGCTCCCCTGAATCTTAAGGACCACAATCATAGCCTTCTTTTCATACAAAAGAATTTGACTATTTCTCAGTTAAAGTTATGCTCTTGGTGAGCATCTGATAAAAGTAGCCTAGAGACCACCCAAGGAGCCATTACATTATGGGAGTAATAAAAACCTCAAAAAATAATGCCAGGACTGACGACTCACCACCCCTGGTTTACAGGTATACACGTTGCAGAGAATGGGATGAAGGAGCCAAAGTAATGAGAGGTTATGGGGAAACTCTGGAAGCACTACTGAAGGAGAGTCAGAGTGAATGGTCATTTGGCTGGAATTGGAAGGCATGGGTTCCAGTTCTGTAACAAGTTCTCTGTGATCCTGAGCAGGTTACAACCTCTCTGAACCTTAGTTTTCTCATCTGTAATATGAAAGCATTAAGCCTGATGGCTGCAAGGTCCTTTCCAGCTCTAAATTCTAAGGTTTTCAAATGTACTAAAATGTAGTAAAATTGGTTAGACAAAGTGGCTCATACATGTAATCCCAGTGATTTGGGAGGCTGACGTAGGGGGACTACTTGAGGCCAGGAGTTCAAGACCAACCTGGGCAATATAATGAGACCCCATATCTACAAAAAACAAAAAAACAAAAAACACCTTTTTTTTTTTAGGCCAGGTGTGGTGGCTCATGCCTGTAATCCCAGCACTTTGGGAGGCCCAGGTGGGAGGACTGCTTGAGTTCAGGAGATCAAGAGCAGCCTAGGCAACATAGTGATACCTTGTCTCTACTAAAAATTTTTTAAATTAGCTAGGTGTAGTAGTACACAACTATAGTCCCAGCTACTTGGGAGGCCAAGGCAGGAGGATTATTTGAGCCTGGGAGATTGAGGCTGCAGTGAGCTATGATTGCACCACTGCACTCCAGCCTGAGAAACAGAGTAAAACCATGTCTCAAAAAAAAAAAAAAATTAGCAGAACACGCTGGCATGTACCTGTAGTCCTGGCTACTCGAGTGGCTTAAGCCCAGGAGTTGCAGGCTGCAGTAAGCTATAACTGTGCCTCATACTCCAGTCTGGGCTACAGAGTAAGATCCTCTCTCTTAAAAAAAAAAAAAAGAAAGAAAAAAGGTAATTTTCTTCTTTAAACTATTCCAGATTTTCTATAACGAGTATGTTTTATTTGTGAAGCAATTAAACAAATTCTTAAGAGTAATTGTGCTCGAAATAAACTCAATTATTATGACTTAGTTCTAGATCTATGCTAAACCCAAAAAGTTTACCTTAATAATTTAAGGATCTTGATTTTTTCCTAAGGTATCCGTCTTTTCCCAGTGTGAGTTACATCTACAGTGGCCAGACATGGTGGCTTATGCTTGTAATCCCAGCACTTTGGGAGGCCAAGACAAGCAGATCACTTCAGGCTAGGAATTCAAGACTAGCCCGGCCAACATGGTAAAACCCTGTCCCTACTGAAAACACAAAAATTAGCCAGGTATGGTGGCACATGCCTATAATCCCAGCTACTCAGAGGCTGAGGCATGAGAATCACTTGAACCCAGGAGGCAGAGATTGCACTGAGCCGAGATCATACCACTCCACTACAGCCTGGGCAACAAAGCAAGACTTTGTCTCACAAAACAAACCAACAAGTTATATCTACAGTTTAGAGGAGTCAATTAGTTGCAGCTCATGTGACTCTCAGAATACATTTGTGTCAAAGTAACGCAGTCTGTGAATTAAGGGCATACCCATTTCTTTTAGCTCTTTGATTTCCATTTCAGGGGTCTCTCTGGGGTGTTCTGAAGTCAGTCCTAGATAGACATTGACATCAGGATGGAGTCTGTATCTCTGCACTCTGGGACTCTCTGTTGGTTGAGTTCTCTGGGCTCCAGTAAAATCCTATAACACAGGAAATATTGTCAAGGACATAGTCTCAGTCATCCTGAATGTGACTGGAGCTTTAGAAACCATCTAAGTATCTGATAGAATCCCTCTTATTCCTGTTGGGTAGGCCGACTAGTTTATTGTTATTGCCAATACCTTAAAAGCAATAATAATAGCTATCATGCACTAAATCTCCACTAAGTACCTTCAGTGTGCCCCTACTATGAATATGTGTTGAACCTCCCTGGCTCCCCTCCTCAATTCCCATGCTGCTCTCACCAAGTTAGCAGTTAGGCTTTTCTCGAGAACACAGAAAGGGTGTAATAAAATGAGGATTTCAACTTGGTCTCTAGTTTTGTCTTGGTCTCTAACTCCCTACTCTCCTGAGATAGGTAAGCAGGCATAAATTCTCAAGAACTGGCCGGGCGCGGTGGCTCAAGCCTGTAATCCCAGCACTTTGGGAGGCCGAGGCGGGTGGATCACGAGGTCAAGAGATCGAGACCATCCTGGTCAAC